TCTTGTGCAGCTGAGAGACCGTTTGAGCGCGGTCAACCTGGACCCTAGTCAAATCTCTCTCAACGGGTTCTCCCCATAGTCTTCTAACACCAACCCTTCACACATACTAAGGTACTCCGGGTAAACTCATCGACTTGACTAGATCGTCGATACTGTCCATCTTCACTGTTTTCAATGGATTTTTACAAATATCCTCTTACAAGAGGATATTTACCAAGGCTTTACCAGAAATAGCGCTATATAAATACCGTACTATTATTTATTATTTATTATTACAAGATGTTCTCCTTCACTCCTTCTCCGACTGATACTGGTGCAGTTCGCGGCGCGCGACGGCCTAGAACCCACGATTTTAATTACATTCAACGCATGCGTAATGACATCCTCTTTCTTTCGTGGGCAAGCTTCGGTCTGTTTCACTCACAAGAAATCCGTTTAAAAATCGTCCATCCGAAACACTTTTCGCCACTTCCATGAAAGAATGGCCTCTGAAAAGGTAAGTGCTGAATATGCAAGCTGTTTCTTAAATTAAATAACGAGATATATCGGAAAACAACTCCGTAAAACTATAGCGCTTTGGTATGCTATTTTTCGCGGGCTTAATGTCGCCTGATCGTATACCTTCCGTCAAAGTCCTGGTTTTTCCGTTCTACTTGATTATACCTCCTGCAGGTGCCCATCTCGCAGGTAGTTAAATGCAACATTCGTCTAGAGTGCCCGCTCGACGAATATATTTTACTAAAAAAAAAAAAAAAAATTACAATTGTAATATATGACCTGATTTCCTGCAGGTACCCATCTCGCAGGAACCAAACGATATGCTCATCAAGGGTACCAGCTCTGATGATGGATCAGCAACATCTATACCAGTGACAAGAGATGAAATAAGTTCTCTGATTGAAAACAAAGTCACTGCGACACTAAAGAGGGCTTTACCAGATATTTTAAGAAATGCATTTATGACAGATCCTGATGGCTCCCAAGCAAATGAAGTTGGGGCACACCCTCTACCCAAAAAAGCCAAAGCGGAGGATAGTGAAACACCAGTCTCTGTTGTCTCTAGTCGGTCTGACAAATATTATGCACCTGCACAAGAAACTCTTCTGAAGAATTAACTTCTTTTCTCAAATCTGCATTTACCAAGCAACTGTCCAAAGAAGTTTGGACAAATTTAATGGAACAATATCCTGATATTAAAGGAACAAATGATTTCCTAGTGTCACCCGTAATGCAATCTGGGATGAAAGAGGACGCTAAACGTGTCCATGGCCTATCTCGAACGAAAGATTTGTTCACATTTGATGAGGGTTTAGCTGCCAAACAAGCACCCTTTATGTCTGTTCGACCACTTGTTAGTGCTCTACAAGCGTTAGAGCCAACAGGAGAAGTGAATGTCGATGAGGATGAGCCCTCGAGTCCTGATCCCGACCACATCAAAGCTCTTATTGAAGATGCTATTGTACTCCTTGGCAATGCACATTGTTGCCTTAACAGCTGGCGACAACAACGTTTCGCTGAGTACTTAACTGATGTTGGAAAGCATACGCTGAAAGATCACATTCCAGCTGACAAGCATTTGTTCCCTGAAAAGTTTCATAATATCATTAAAGAGGAACATGATCATGCAAACACAAATCGAAAATTAGTGGCACAACCACCAACGGCAACAACAAACCCTATTGGGCACGCCGTGGAAGCCACGCAAAACGTAGCTGACTATCAGCTGCCATCACTTCAGGACATAATACCACCAGACAATCTTGTAGCAGGTCGAATCAAATATTTTTACTCAAATTGGACACTAATTACGTCAGATCCTTGGATTCTATCCATAGTTCAAGGGTACAAATTTCCCTTTGTCTGTCAACCAATACAATGGAGACAAAGACAAACAAAAGCCAAGTCAAAAGAGGACTTAGCTTCGATAAACGAAGCCATCTCACAACTCCAGACAAAAGGTGCAGTAAAAGCTGTACAGGAGAAACTAAATCAATTCACTTCAACACTGTTCATTGTGAAACAAACAACCAAAGAAAGGCCAGTCTTCAATTTGAAGAATCTCAATCGGTTTGTCGATTCTCAGCAGTTCAAGATTGAGGGTCTGGAAGCAGTACGCAAACTTATCCAATCAGGCGACTTCATAATGAAGTTAGATCTCCAAGACGCATATCTTTCGGTACCAATTCATAACAGTCATAAGAAATACCTACGGTTTGTCTTCCAAGGAATAACTTACGAATTACAATGCCTACCATTCGGGTTATCCAGCGCCCCCAGGACTTTCACGAAACTGTTAAAACCAGTCATAATACTGCTCCGGAGACAAGGAATTCGGATAGTGATATACCTAGACGATATGCTTATTCTGGACCAAAGTCCAGAGAGACTGTCGTCAATCTTTCAGAGTGTTGTTGCTCTGTTACAACGTCTTGGTTTTCTCATCAAGCAGGAGAAATGCTCTCAAGCTCCCTCCCAGTGTCTAGAGTTCCTGGGATCCTTGATAAATTCCAAGGAGATGACGCAAGCCGTTCCAAACGAGAAACTCCAGAATCTCCAATTAGAGTGCAAGAATGCGCTCAACAATCGCTGGCTGACACTGAAAGAATTCTCTGCTCTACTAGGCAGGATGAATCAATGTTCGCAAGTGGGTCTGGTACAGGGTCCCTTGCATTATCGTGCACTACAGAGGCAACATATCAACAGCGTTCATCGGAACGAAGGCTTCTGCAACAAAATGCGAATTTATCTCACAAGAGATTCGCTGAACGACCTCCAATGGTCGACCTCGACCAAGATTCCTCAGTTCAACAAATGCCTAATCTCCCTACCACCGTTCGACATGATCGTTTACACAGATGCGTCCAAACGCGGATGGGGAGCTCACTACAATGGACGCACAACGGGGGGACGATGGGACATCCAAGAATCCAGACAACACATCAACATTCTCGAATTGAGAGCAGCCCTTCTGGGCATTCGGTCCTTTCTGATGTCACAAGTAAAGATTCCACAACATATTGCTCTGCAGATGGACAACTCTACAGCAGTAGCGTATGTCAACAAGAGAGGGGGGACACGGTCGTCGACGTTAGCAGCCTTGGCAGTGGCATTTTGGAACGTTTGTCAACAGAAAAGCAAATGGGCTTCACGTCACTTCAACGAACGCACAGAGTGGACTCTGGACAGGTCGATCTTTATACGCATAGTCACCAAGTATTACACTCTGCAAGTAGACTTGTTTGCGTCCCGTCTAAATCATCAACTACCCCGCTATGTTTCCCGACACCCAGACCCGGTTGCAATGGGGATCGATGCGATGATGTTACAGTGGAACAAATGGACATCATTCATTCATGCACCGATTGTGATGCTGCCTCGAATTCTGAAGAAGATACGCGAGGATCAGGCAACCTGTCTACTAATAGCTCCAAACTGGCCAGGTCAGTCTTGGTATGCGTTACTACTGGAGATGTTGGTGGACATCCCTGCCATTCTTCCAATGTCGGAGAAGAGTCTATATCTCCCGTTCGACCTGGAAGCGCAACACCCGTTGTGGAAAACAATGAAGCTAGTGGTATGGCCTCTTTCAGGGAACGTTGCCGAGCAGGAGGCCTTCCACCGCAAGTTTGCGAAATCCTTATGGCCTCCTGGAGAGAAGGAACGAAAAAAGATGTGTCACGGACTCAATGTCTCCTTTCAGCGACTGTAGCAGAGGTTTTACAGTTTCTGACTGAACAATTTCACACTCGAAAGCTTTCCTACCGAACTGTCAGTGTTTACAAATCCTGCATATCTCAACTGCATGATCCAATCGAGGGACAACCACTAGGAACACTCCCGCTCTTGTCTCGTTTTATGAAAGGCATATTTGCACTTCGTCCACCATTGCCCAAAATCTGTTCAACCTGGTCAGTTGGGACATTATTAGAGCATCTAAAGAATTTGCCATCAAATGAAAGCCTCTCCCCTAAAGAGTTGACGTTTAAGACGACTATACTATTGGCACTTACGTCTTCAGCCAGGGCTCACGAACTTGCAGCATTAAATTTAGATTATGTATCCCAAAAGGAGAACAGTTGGGAGTTTACGATACCTCAACATGTTTAAAATTCTCGACCGAATCACCCAGCAAGAAAAAATTACCTTCCATCTTTTCCGGAAAACCAGACAATTTGTGTTATCGAGAGTCTGAAACAGTACGTAAACCGAACCGCTCGTCTTCGCAAAGACCAGCATCTTCTTGTGTCTTTTACATCGCCCCACTCGGCTATCGGGAGTCAGACAGTATCACGTTGGACACGCACTGTATTGTCTAATGCAGGTATTGATGCTCAATACACCGGTCATTCTACACGAGCTGCAGCAACATCTATGGCTACAGATAGTGGCGTGCCTCTTGAAGATATCATTGCGGCTGCCAACTGGTCATCAGCAACAACCATCAAAAAAATTTTATCACAAGCCTATCTTAAAGGATAAGTTTGTTCAAAGTATTTTGGTTTCAGGCGAACCAAAATGACATTAACTGTTTTCAGTCAAGGACGCATCTAAACCAGTCACTAGACACTTAAGTTTACCTAATCATTCTAAACAACATATGGCTATCTGCGGTCTTTCCTTACATTTTAGCAACAAGGAAAGCCGGAAAACTCTTGAACAAAAGTTAATCTTTCAAATCGGCACTCTTAATCCTACAGGTATCAACTAACGCTATTCATTCCACTAATTTATTCGCGTTTTTCTCGCTGCCATGTTCCCACCAATGGCGTGGCTCCACTTTCTGCGTATAGAACCACATGCAACCCAGAGTTCCTCCATTCGCTCTGACGAAGGGCTAACGCTCGAAACGTCAGCTTTTTTATTCGTTACGGTGGCCAATTTACAATTTACTAAATTACCTTGTTACCCCCACCGACGCAGCACCAGTTTCTTTAGAAACTTTCAGCCTTTATTCATTTGTTCTTTTTGTGGCTGCTCCCTTCTACTGAGGATTTTTTTTTCTCTGAAAACAGTTTTTTTACGTTTTCGAATTTTTTTTTCCGTTCATCAGTCTCTTTTACTTTCATCAGGCTTACTCCTTTCCAAAAACTGATGGTCGCTTTTTTTTTTCATATGCCCAAAGTAACTAGTCAACAAGTATTTCATGTAGATGCAACAGTGAGTGTTGGTTTCCGTGGGTGTGCTCAAGCATGTCAAGGCAGAAATCTCAAAACGATATATCGTTTGCAGTCGTTTACTTGAGCATTCTTAGACTTGGAAACAATACCAAACATGATAACATCAACATAATGTCTGCTACCTCGGTGATGTCACGCTTGCGCCCTCCAGCAAAATTTTTGTTGCGTTGGGGTTTGCGGTGTTGACCCTTTTCTTGATTGCAGTGATGAACAACTCGCATTGCGGTGTTTTTTTATCTCAAACCTTACAGTGTATGTTTTTCAAAACTAGCCTTTGATAAGCCGTGGTTATTAGTCGAACAAAATAAGCAATACATCCGAGCTAATCATTTTATGAACATAAGCTGATCGACCCCAGACCATGTTCGTTTAGATTATTTTTGACCTTTGAACCTCTACCAAAGCACTATCGGCCAGACCAGCGCGTGGTAAAGATGAGTGAAACCAGACCAGGTAAATATTGAGACTCTTTTATGTAAGGTGTCGGTGCGTTGATAATTTGCGGTAATTGTTCTATATTGCCGCATTCAGAACCCTCCATGTCCCCTCTAGATAGCGATAGTAGGGAGCTTAAACAGGAGACTTCGGGGACGACGCCGCAGTCAGATTCCTGACGGCCTGGGTCTGACGTCGTCGCTCTCCCGCCAAAATTTAATTTGTTAAGTACGGATGCTGTTTTGCCACGACACGGCCATCCTCTGTTCCTGATATACTTTTGTTTCTGCTTCGGTTATGGCCAGTTTTAAAGAGTTTCGTCAGACCCTTCTTCTCTACTACGACGCTGATCTTATTTGTGATGAGGATTTTATAGTCTTGTACGAGTCGTTTTCCTCACGAAATTCAGATTTTGCTTGATTTGTACGATCGCTTTGACTTGGATAACATGAACGACGACGAATGCAAAGCCGAATTTAGAGTGAGGAAAAGGGATCTTCCAACACTGGCTCAAGTTCTTAGGTGTAATATGTCTAGCTTTTTTTCTCATTCGCAGATAAAATATTCATAATACGCTTACTTACGATCGCGATTTGGGGGGAGGTTTGGTGCTCGTTGCATCCTTCTATGTGGCCATTTTTATATTCCAAAAACTGTCTAAACTGAAGGCAGAAACTGCTCTTAAACTAAACTAAAAATATAATTAAACATCGATTGAAATCGTGTGAACCACAAAGAAAAGTTGGAAAAACTAAAAAGGCCATGAAATCTCATAAATCACTCACATTTCACGACGCCGTCAAATACCTAAAACTCACGTCGCCGCCGGAAGGAGGACGTCGTTTGCCGTAGGTATGTCATGCGCAATGGACCTAGTCCCAGTCTCAACTGCTCATTGATGGCGGCGTCGTCTTGAAAAGTCCTCCAGCTTAGCAGAGAGGCATTTGGTTTACGCATGCGCGAGTGGAATTGTTTTGTCGCGTTCGGCGCCATTGGTGAAGTTTTCGACACGTTTCTGCGAGGTTTCAACTGGACGATCGCCACCTTTTTGTAATATTTTTTGAAGATGGATGGAGGAGTATGACAAATTCACCAACATTTCTAACTCTGTGGATACTCGTGGTGTTTGCTAGCTTTTCACTTGAGGATATTTTAATGATCAAAGTTCGAACAAAACGCGAAAAAAGCCCGAAAACTTGAAGTTTGAGATTTGATTTACTGAAGATCAAAATGTACACATGAGACATCAACCTTGAAGGTTAGTCTTAAGATGATGATGTTTTATTTTTGTGAATCACAAAGCTGTATGTGGAGACGATCGTGAGATATTGGATCCAAGGAAAGATGGAAATTTAAATTTGGATCTTATTTTACTTCAACTTCGAAGCTTTTTTGCGTTAAGTTTGAGGTGGCCCCCAAGCATCAAATCACTTTAAATAACATCGTCTTTTCGTTCTCTATATAGTCATATAAGACACAAGGCTTTAAAAAATTTTCCAGCTTCAGGAGTAAGTTGCTGTTACTACAACCCTCAGTGAATTATTTTTCGGGAGGTTTTGGCGGATTTTCCAAGTCATGATCCAAAACCGTCTTTGGCCTTTTTGCTCTCCTAGTCTGTTGTACATGGTAGGTAGACATGTGTCTTAACAATTGTTATGGTCTTACCTCAATCAACTCCGGTTTTGGCTTATTTTTTTTACTGTGTTTTTGTGGTAATTTTTACTATTGCCTTTTCGAGCTTCATGTGCTAACTAGAGGAAAAACTTTGGTAAAACTTATTTATCACTTGGCCCCCAAGTCCCTCACTATTGTCAGTTAATTGTTTATTTATCTAGCTTTCGGTCTAACTAGTCCATTAACCTCAAAATATGCGTGGACTTTGTCTCATGAGTAAAACCGGTGCCGTTTTCTTCATGTTCATGTGTTATTCGAAACGAATGGCGTCAGCTGTATTCTGTCGTGTTCCTTTCAGTAGAATGCTTTGCCTTGCGAAATGAATGTTGAGTCGAAGTACACTATGAATTTTAAACCAGTTGAGTTATATTTCACTTTGCTGTTTGTGTCGTGATCATGAAATTCTTATTTCTTAAGATTGATGATATGAATTAACTTTTATGTTCTCTTCTGTTTAAGGTAATGTGAAGTGACCCAATAATTGGTAGTATAGACAGAATGGTTGGCAGTGACATTTACTGTGGCAAGCTGTTATTCAAGAATTTGTCATTATTCCCAGAAGCTAACTACTGGTTTAAATAATTAGTCTTTTGTTCCCTGTACACAACTTGCTTAGACTGATATGCTATATGGGAGTTATGTCTACTTTATTTGTAAAATTGGTAAAATTACCAATAGAATTACCAATAAAGTTTTCAGTAGTTTTGTCCAGATTTCATTGAAAATGAATGTGAGGAGTGATCAGTCATATTCCTTAAGAGTGTTTAAGCTTCCAGCATGAGAGCTAATAAATTTCTTGAGTTATTCATACATGATTTGTCTCCTGTAAAATTGTCTCAGCTAAACCCCCAGGCAAATGTCTATAAATTTCTTTAAATAGCAGCCAGGTTGGTGTTCGTTACCACTTAAAATGCAGTATCAAAGTCTCCTTTTGACTTCAGTCTTATTTCTCTAAAATCTAATAGGTGTAAATGATCCATTTTCATAAAAAAACTAAACTCTCCTCTTTATTTTAATCTGACTTTATTCAGTCTTGTTCCCAGGGGATACAAGCCTGGTGAAAAAGTCTGGTTTTTGTCCTCACTGATACTATCAGCTGTGCAAGTTCTTATGAAATTGTCAGATAACTCTCGTAACTTAATAGGTTGCAAAAGGTGTATGTGATGTCTTTGGGCTGTAAGGATGGATGAAGTCAAATATAATTTTTATTTGGAAAATAATTGATTCATTTAAATATTATTATTACAACTGGAAACTTAAAATGTTGTTTGATTTTATTCACATTTAGGCAACAGGGTGGTCTTTCTTTTTTTGTACACACCTCTCTAGTTATGGTGCAATTCTCATCTGTTGAGGGTTATGTTTTTAGGCTGCAAGAAGGATGGATGAAGTCAAACATATACTTTATTAGGAAAATAATTGATTCAGTTGTGATTTGTTGAAAAAAACTTTTCAACTAAAACCCAAACTTCTGTGCACTTTTTCTTTTTGCTGAAATTGCAAATACGTTGCACTAGCAGTTTAAGCTCTAAAACACTCAAAGGAAAGTAAGTACTACAAATGTACTCAATTGCTTGAGATAGCAGTGACAAGATTAAATTGCTTTCCAATTCATCTGTGCTCTTCGACTGGCCTCCTGTATTATTCACAAAAAAGATCATCTACATCGATCACACCAACAACCATTAAAGAGTAATCGAATTGAACTCGATTGTACATCCTTTTGCATTTGGAAAATCAATCAATGTGACTTCCTTTCACACCACACAACCATATTAAGACTAGGGTGCTTCCGTCTAAGTTACAGAGGGAAA